TAATAAGATAAATGAAATGGTAGAATGAATTTTGGGCCAATAGGATGAATGTGAATGAATAGACAGATAGGATCGGAATAACTAATCCGATCGGTTTACTGTTATTGTTTTTACTTTGTTTTGTTTTTTTCAGGAAATATTCTGGATGAATGGGAAAATAGTGTTATGTTATTTAGGCCACCGTAATGTTAATACTTTTCCTTTCCCTTTTTTCCTCTTTCCATCCACCTCCTCCTCAACCGTGCTATTTATTTTTCATCCGTTTCCTCTTTTCATTTTTCCTCTTCTCCATCCATACCTTTTTTACTTTGACAGCTAAGTGACAAAGTTGATGATGCGCTTTTCTCCTGAATACAATTAATTTGCATGGCGTCTTTGTCCTCCTTTTTCCCTTTCCACATGTAACAAATGTTATGATTTCGGGATGAAGGAATTAAAAGAGAGAGAAAGAAAAGGAATGGAAGAGGAGGAGGAAGAGAAGGAAGGATAGAAAGGTAAAGGTATTTTGAAATAATAAATAGTAAAGTGAAAAGTTTGGGGATCAGAGGGGAATTTTTACTTTACCTTTCTATTTCTCTATCGTTCTTCCATTAATCCTCCTATACAATCTGGATGAATATTCCTTATATCGTTCCTCTTCGTTTTCCTTCTTTCCTCTCTCCCCTTTTTTTTTTGAGTGTAATTTGTGACTGATGAATGAAAGAAGGAAAAAAGGAGAGGAAAAGAACATGAAGATGATAAAGTAATATTTACAAACAGCATAGTTTCATTCATTCCTAAAAATGTTGGCCTAAATTTCAGGAATGAAATTTTATCTATTTATTATCACTAGGCAAAAATACAAAATATTCGAATTAGCAGGAAGATCTTTCAAATATTTTGGATAATTGTAGAAGTATATTCATTGATAATAAGATTGTTATATCTAAAATTGCATTGAATTGTATTGTATTACATTATGTGATGAGTCTGAAATAATAGACTCGAATGATATGATATGATATGATAAGATTGGCTAGAATAATTTATATTGGAAAAATGCTTCAAATTCTTTCCATTCTTTTCCACTTTATAATGATTACATCGTGTGGTAATTAATTTTTTTTTTCTACTGTTAAATTACTCTTCCTTTTTAATTGAATTAAATCAATATAATATCATTCGATAATTAATTTTACAATCAATGAACCGAGTAGTACATCATCTGTTTGATCTGTTTATTTTTCTTCTTCATCGATTTCTTGCCAGGCATTGTTTCATTTAGGCTGTTCGAAATTTATTGGATAATTCTCTCTGTTCCTTTTTCTTTCTCTCCCTCTCTCTCTCTCTCTCTCTCTCTTTTTCACTTGGATGCACTATTTGTTTGTTGCTTTCCTTTTTTTCACTAATATATAGTTGTGATGTATTTTTTTTCTCTTTTCTTTCTCTTTTATTAATTAATTACATTATTTTGCATTAATTGTTTTTATAAACATTAGAAAAGAATTGCATAAATTTTTTTTGTGCAAATTTTTAATTGCTAATCATTCCTTTCTTTTTGTTATTAATCAACCATTAAAAATTTTTTCTATTGAATGAAAAGTTAAATTTTGCAAAATTATTGATTGATTATGCTAATAATTTACGAATTTCATATCATTTGATTTCTTTGCATTCGGGCCAAATCAGGAAATATCAATGATTGGAATGAAATTTCTCAATTAGCGATAGAGAGAAAGAAAATTATACCATTACACCCTTACTTGATTATAAGTTTATTAAAAAGATATCCGTGAATTTCAGTCGTTTGTCTTATCATATAACCGGAATTGATAAGGGCTTGAAATTTCAAATTTGACAGTTATTCGATTAAATTGTCATCATCTGCTTTCGCGTTCTCAAAAGATTTTAGAAACTTCAGAAGGATGTTGTAATTTGATATCAGACCGATAACAGGGTAAATACTTCGATCGAGAAGAAATGAAGAGATAATGTATTTGTCGCGTAAGAGACATTCTAACCTCGTTTTCGCCTCGTTTCATTTCTCCTTCTTCCCCCGACTGCCATCCTCTTCCGTGAAACCTCGTCCCTGTCTTATGGTTTACTTCGTTTCTCCTACCTACCTTGAAATATCCCCTCCGGCTGTCCAAAAATGCTCCTCTTTTCAGCTGTTGTAATACTGTTAAATGAGTGGGGGCCGGGAATCTCGAAATATATCGACCTCAAGCACTTTTGTTTTCTTCCTACTCCTTTTACCTCTCTCTCTTTCCCTATTCTTAAAATTAAAAATTTCTTAACAACGAAATATATTTTCGTACCATATGAAATTTGAATGTGTAACTTGAACTTGCATCAAACCGTCGTACTGAAATGCATGACATGGTATGGTATTGATATGATGTGGTACTATGATGAGATATAGTGCTCTAGTATTGCATAATAGCATGGTACTCTTACCAACAACAGCTTTATGTAAATAATTGACGAAAAAAATCACACATCATTAATTTTCATTACATTACAACATTGTAATCATCTATCATCATTAATTCAATTTGTAACTTTGGGTTAAAAACAAAAAGAAATTGCAATTAAACAGAAACTTAAACTATTTCATATATTTAACATTACTCTTGTATTTTTAAAGCAATTTTACGTATTCTCTTTTCAAATAAGATGTCATTATTATTTATTGATGACTGATGGAAAAGTAGAATTGGAATGATTCTATGATAATACGGATAAAACCGATTGTTTAAACTGAAATGATACAAAAAAGGATGATGGAAAATGAAGATGATATAAGCATGCTTATTAAAAATTGAAATAATGAGATCTGCTTTGAAACAATTAATAATAAATTACGATGTATTTTAAAATTCGACAATTTAAAATGTTGTTTGTCATTTAGGATCAAAATTAAATCGATTTTTTAAATAAATTTCGTAAATTTTGAAGAATTTGCACATTTCCAAAATTCAGCATTTCGTAATGCGTCATCAGACCATAAAGGAATTTTGTTTTGCGGTTGATAAGAGAAGAGGAGGAGGAGGAGGAAAAGGGTAGAGGAAGTAGGTAGAAAAGAGGAAGGAATGAGAGGGGAAAGGGAGGTTACAGGTTATCAAAAGAGGACGAGAGGGCAGAGCAAAGCAGGAGGGATTGAGGGCAACCCATCGGGATTTTCATCCCCGGCCCCGTCAAACCGCGCCAACCAAACAAATATTACAACGGTGGCGAAGAGGAGAAGTGTTTTGATAGAGCTGGGGGCGATATTTTTAGAAGATTGGTGTATCAAACCATTATCAGTAGCAGTTATTTGATTGAAAAATTTTTGCCAAAATAGTCTCGATTCTAATCATTTGTACTCTTTCCAACCTTCCTTCCATTTCCTGTATCGGTCAACAAAATGGTTGACAAAATTCACCGCTCCAATTACCTCCTTTTCTCTTCTTCCTCCTCCTCCTCCTCTCCCTCCTCCTCCTCCTTCTCCTCTGATACTTTTGCTGATACCTCTTAACAACATTTAATTGATGGTATAACAGTGATGAATTTTATGACAATTCTTGTACCTACGAAATCATTAAACAATCACATGGTCATATTTGCCCTCCGTACTCTTTTCTTTCCTCCATCACAACTGTCTTATTTTTACACTCATATTTTTCGAATTGGACGGGGGAGGGGGGGATTAGTCTCGGGGTAAATGATAAAGAAAGAATGACGAGAAATGAGGCAGGTAGGATGAGAAGGGATCGAAAAATAAACTACCAATTGTTTTTTTTCTTATTTTTTTTAAAATTCTTCCTCTCGTTGTCCATTTTATATTCTTTCTGAAATTTTCAATTCCTTCTCATTCCGGAAATATTTCAGAAGTGAAGAAGGAATATGAAAAAGTAAAGGAAGGAAAAAGAGTTTTGATGCTTTGATTCGAAACAAATCATCCTTTGCAGCATAATAATTCCATCAATCCTCTACCTCTTTTATGGGGTACTCTTTTACTCCTCTCTCTTCTCCTCTCTCTCACTCCTCCTTCGCCCTCATTTCCCCATTATACCCGTTGAACTTTACACTGTACCTTTCCAGACAGCAATCATTTATTATTAATTTACCTTGCGAACCGAGAAATTTGCTTCTGTAATCACTAAAAATGGCACAAACCTCAAAAGTCATTCAAATTCAATAATTTAATGTTAAATTTGAAAAGTTACAACGTTAATAACATAAATTTTTGTTAGAAGCAAAATTAAACCTCTTTAGTCTATCTTATTGATAACTAAATTAAACTGTAAAATATCCGAGGATTCGAAGAAATGAAAACAGGAATAGATTGAAGGAACGAAGATGAACGGAAACATTCCGATCACCATATAAATCTTTTTTCATAAAATTTTTTTCCTCTTCCTTTCTCTCTCTCTCTCTCTCTCTCTCTTTTTCTTTCTATCCATTACTAAAGAATTATGAATACTCACAATAAAAAAGAAGGGAGAAAATGATGAAATTAGAAAGGTGCGATTAATTTACGATGAATATGATGAATAAATTAATGCATTTATATTTTGCGATCATTTTAAGCAAAATGATTTCAAATTTTCAATTGTTACAAAATAAGAAAAAATATATATTAAAAATATAGTAAAATTAATTATGCATAAAATAGGAATTGAATAATTAATATTGGAAATTAGCATATTGGTAATTAAATATGCGATAATTTTTTTTTGCATTTCCCAATGAATTCTTTTAGCAGAATTAGTATTTAAAAATTATAATATTTTATCAAGTATTGGGATGCATTTTTGCATGGCGCCCTTAGCTAAACTTCACACAGCTAATTCAGTTATTTTTATCTTTTCATATTGAATTTTCGGCTGGTGAGGTGAGGGCGGTAGTTTATTTGCGGAGTTGATTGAATGACTCTGAGGTGTTTTTCGGATGATCTGAAAAAATTGATTGATTAATCTTGTGACTAATCGGTTACACTACATTGAATATATAATATTGTGTGTTAGAAATTTCATATTATGTTTCCAGTTCATGCTGATCGAATTAAAATGCAAGTATTTTGATGCATTGGAAGCGAACTATCCAGCTGCTTTCTTCAATTTATTGGCTGCTTTTTTGTTAAGTCATTTCCGTCTATTTTATAACAGATTTTTTTTAAACTTTTCATATTGGAATATGTCGGAATGATTCGAAGAACCTGTTCTTTTCCGGAATGATAATAGTGATCAACATCAGCAGATATACTATATGATGGATGTTCTTGAAAGAATATCACTTGCCTTTCTTTTTCTTTGATACTATATAGGTTTCAGATCAATCTCAGAGTCTTATCCGGTTTCATCAATTAGAACTATTGTTGGTATAGAAAGAAATTTCTCTGTAAATCATTTTCATGGGTCATTTAATTCCCAAAATTTGTGACTCTATTTTTGGAATGATCAGTTGATATTTTAGACAATATGTGCTTTAGTCAATGATGAGTGGATTCGCATTGATGATAATAGTAAAGAAAGCCGAAATGCAGCCCAACTGGATGACAACAGCTCAGTTCGCAGCAATAACTATTACAGCCATGTTTTGCCGTTCGTACGAGCGGATCGTTGCAGGGGGTTTGTTTTATCCTCCAGTTTTTATTGTTGAGGTTTTCGAAGTGTTGCGTCATGGAACGTCAGAATTTTTGGAAAAGATCGTTTCGTATTTTCTAATCAATTCTTGTGAGTTACTGATGATTTGCTTCTCCTGTCTTTTGTCTTATCCTTATTCAAAGGCCGTGGTCGGATTGAACGGTAAATTTAGCGGAACAAGTTAGTTGAAACAAGATTGTGAATTAGGGGAAGCATAACAGAGTAATTTTAAAGAAAGAAATAAAATGGTGGGTTGGGAATCTCTAGATTCTGTTTAATTTCTGCTGCGATTATTTTGTGGATTTGTTGTGAAAATGTTGTGAAAAAGTCTGTAACACTTCTTAATTTTTGAAATTCGGCAGACGGAAAACTAGAAATATATGTAAAAAATCCAGGTTTATTATCATATTTCATATTTATGTTGAGTTTATAGAATTGGTACTCGACATTTCTGGCATACTGCCAAATTCGGGTCCTTCGTTGATGTGAAAGGTGTTTATCATACAACTTACCACTTTGATGGAAAAGGTTATTCAGTTCTCTATCCAGCATTTTAAAATTTATTCTAATCATAGCACCTTAGTAGCTGTTGTGGGAAAAAATGGATAAAAAGAAGATGCTTCATACCTGCAATTATAGTAGGTTTTACCAATGTCTGATATATATATAGAGTACTGTATCATGAGGGTTTTACTCCTCCATAGACTAACACTGTAACTGTAATTTCTTGGTTTTCTGTTTATCAAAGTACTGTATTGCAGTTCTAATCGATTGTATCACTCCATTGGTCGCCAATTTATTCTATCTTTTGATCGCTTTCTGCTTTGTTATTGCCGTAAAGTCCATTTTGGCCTGCATTTTGAGTATCATTTCAACATCATCAGGATTTCTTAATTGGCTCAAGCGAAATACAATCCTGGAGATGAGTAGCAGTAAGTTCTATATTTCATGAAAGTTTTCAGACACATATTTTAAAAATTTTGGAAGAAATTTTGAAATTTCAGTGATACTAGCAGTAATATCGTGTATCATAACTCTTGTTGTGGGAGCAATGATTTATTCGGTGTATCCATTTTCGGGTGTAACAGTAGGTGCAGGTTCAGTGTTCATTGCAGTAAGTGGTGTTAGCTCATTTTTCGCTGCAGCGGTAAGCTTACGAAGGTAACTCTTGTTTTTTTAGTAGGAAAAATGATAGAATTTTGCAAAAAGAATTCATAAATTATATAAAGTTCAAATGAATCTAAGACACATATGACACATATGTATTTTTGCTTAGTATGTTTATTGGAAACCGATACGGCTCCAATTTAAATTATATACAGATGGTTATTGCAGAAAATACCGTGTTGCTCGTCAAAGACGACTTGAAAATCAACGTCTGTTATGCGCACGTTCACTTCGTTCGTGGAGAGAAGTTAGCCGTCGTCCTGAAGATATGCAACCAATCATAGATTTTGAACGTTATCTGGATTCGTGGGCGACGCCGGTTGATACTCCATAGGATAGATAAATTGCAGCACTTTTAAACTTTTTAATAGGTGTGTTTTGGTATTTGAGAAATATAGTAATTAAAAATAAATATTTTATAACCGTATTTTAACTATTGAATGGCATGATTAAGCGTCAAGTGATCTAGAGAGGCTTTTTGGTATCAACATGTGGTCGTTGTCATGTCGTTATTTTGATACCCGAACGATCTCTCAATTTTACTTATTGTTAACTAGCAGTTCAAAGTTTTGAATTTTTTCTCAAGGTGTAAATATTTTGGTTATTTCAGGATATCCAATCTTTGTATATTTGCTCGGCATTAACGTACTTAGTGTGTGTTGTCGAGGGTGCCAGTTTAGTTGAACATTTTCTCACGCTCTCTTAACACTTACTGATTAAGAATTATTTTCTGTCCTAAATTTGGTATTATCGATGTAGTAAGTGGATTAGTAATGGCGTAGCCAAAATTTTCTCCATAACGAAATCCATGGCAAAGATTCTCTTTCCTTTTGTTCTCATAGAAGACGTCGTGTTAATTTCGAAAAGTTTGCTTCATGCATTCATGACTCTCAGGTTGGTTGGAGTCATAAAAGAAATTTCCTTATTGTTCCATGGAAAAATTTGTCCCGTTTCTTATTACAATTGTTGCTACGTCCTTGTTCTCCTAAATCTGTTCAGTTCACTTGTCCTTTCTACCTTATACTGTAATTTTTCATTTGAAATAATGGGTAGTATTCAGATATCACCATTGTAATTTCCTTGTCTTATCAATATAGTCAAATGACTTTTCGGGTAGATTTTTATCTGTATCTAGTATTTTTGCTCTCTTTCAAGTTTGATTTTAAATTTTGACTCAAATATTCGCCTCTGAACCACTTCATCCTAATTAAGGTCAACTTTTCCGCAGTTCTTTCGAACTTCTCTTAATCGTGATTCAGCTTTAATGATGATATTGTGATGATTAAATAATGATGTTAACAGTTTCCTTTTTTGCCGCAGTTTTATGTCAAAACCGTCATATCAATGCTACTTTGAATCCAAGAAAAAAAAATCTTTGATTTCGGTCAGTTTCTAGTTAATTCATATTTTCTTGTTTTGATATGGCTCCATATTTACACAAGAAATAATTGCTTCTCTTTTTCATATCCTGATGTAATTATGTTATTTGTGGAAGTCATTGTAGAGATTGCATTCTGGAAATTTATTCACCTACCCGGTGGACATGGCTGTAATACATTGTCTTTGCAAATTATTGCTCATTTTACAAGCAATAAACTATGGAATATAAAGTCTCCCCGGTTATTCTTTATATATGAACATTAGTACATAAAGATATGGTAATAGTGATAACTTGAATTTGTTTCCAAGGAGTTATACACGAATAGGTTTGTCATTTTATGGTCGTACTGAATAATGGCCCTATGTCAGTATGCGAAAGAAATGAGAACCGAAAATTTCAACAGTTAAACATTTTCCATTTTTGGCCGATTAGTAGAGTGATGACGACATCATCATACTATAGCAGCTTTTTTATTTGAAAATATACAAATATTCGAGCAAAATTGAAACAATAATGGCGCTTGTACAAAAAACACAGGCATGTTCATTGATTGCATTACAATTTTGAGGACTGATGCATAACAATTAAAATAGACGAAATCGGAAATATCCCTAAAGCATATATAATTTTTTTCCGGATAACAGATGCATTTCTTTCCGCTATTTGTTGCATCTTTCTAAAAAAAATCTGTCCCACTTAAGAAGTTTCTCCAAAAGTTTCCCTCATCAAATCCTCAAAACGAACATTTCTAGCAACCAAATGAGCATCTATTGCGTGAGATCTGTGAAATCTGCAAAAAAAGAAATAAAGAAATTATGTATATAAATAATTAACAGTTCCTGAGTACACAAATTTCAAGGGTACTGCAAGAATAAAAGGAAAAAAAAAAGAAAACACGAAGTAAGTTAAAACCGGCAAAATTAGATGACAGACGATAAAGAGATGTGAAAAGAGGAAGGAAAAGAATAATGAAAGTTCAAAAATTCAAAAATTTCCTTCTTTTTTTTTTTAAAGAATTCATTTTCAATTTGAAAATAACAAAATATTCTAATTTATGAAAATGAAATATTTTAGTATCATCGAATAAAAATGCTCGAAAATATTCATATAACAAAATATAATAATTAATAAAAATAAAAATGCAACATTTTTCTTCGTTCTTTCTTCTTTTTTTTTTTTCAATATAACATATTTCAATTTGCATATATAAACATTTCCTTTTTCATATGCAAAACAATACTTATTTATCTTTCATATGATATCAGAAAATACTCATAGCAGTATGATACGGTTTAGAAGAGATGATTAGCATATTTCTCGAATATATATTTTTCCTTCTTTAGAATAATAGCATTAAAAATATAATGAGAAATAAGCAAAGATGCAAAGGATATTAAAATTATATGAAAATCAAATTTTAGACAAAATTTGATATAAATGATGAACAATACCTCCAACATTATTAGAATCAATATATCAATATTGTTTGCTTAATTATAATATTTATGTAAAACTTTTATATAATTTTAAAATTTTTGCAAAAATATATTATAGGCTATTAAAAAAAAAAAACGGAAAGGGAAAAGAAATTAAAACCTTTGCATCCACCATAACCGTATTATATAATACATTTATCAGTAATTGAGAAAAATCAAAAACAAAAACAAAGAAAATATACATATATCTTAATTAATAATAATAATAATAATAATAATAATAATGAGATAGTCTAAACAGTGGCACCATTTTAATTCATTTCATCGAATAATTTGAAGAAAAAGAAAAAGCGGTAAAAAAAAAGGAGGAGAAAAACAAAACGTAAAAAATCTATACAAATAAGAAAATGTATAAAGTGAATAAGCTGATAAAAGAAGTAATTCCTTTTTCTTTTTCTTACCTCAAATAAAACAATAATAATTAAATTCATTCATTAATGAATTGAAAAAGAAAAGGAAATTCATTTAAATGAATGTTTGTCATAATTTTCTTCTTTCATTATTAAAAAATTCGAATTCTTTTTGTTTTGTTTTTTTTTTTGAAATTAATTTACAAATTGATAATAGCAAAACTAACAAAATTTGCTTCGAAAATTAAATAACAAGCAATTTAAAAGATAGAATTTTTTAAAAAAAAAAAAAAAAAGAGGGAAATCTTATAAAATCGTAGTATAAGTGAGAATTTGTTTCTTTTAAATTTTGTTGAGCATTCTGGCTTCTGGCCAATAATGATAATTGTAATCGTAATAATAACAATAATAATGATAATAATAGTAATAGTAATAATAATAATAATAATAATAATAATAATAATAGTAATAATAATAATATAATAAATATTACAAATGCAATTGATGCAAATTCTGAAAGTCATTACCCGAAAAGAGGAGAAAATTTATTGAAAATTCCACTTTTTTCTCTTTGAATTTTTCAATTGTCATTTTTGAATTTCCATATGATTTGGTATATTTTGAAATTAGAGAAAAAACAAAAAACAAAAATTGATAACGGATGAAATGATAATGTAATATTTCATATTTTATATCTATCGATTTTCGCTTCATTCTTTAATTTTGCAATTTTTATAATTGAATGTAAAAATGGATAAAAGCGAAATTAATTAACAAGCAAATTAGAAAATTTGCGACTTACATGAAAGAAAAAGATAACTATTTATTTATTTATTTTTGGCTTGTTCTAGCAGAAGGATGAAAAGATAATTTAAACAGAGGACATTCGAGAATCACAATAGGCTGCTTGCACGGCGGACTCATAATCTAGCGGACACTGAAATTCATGTAAAAATGTCAAAGTTATCAAACTTTCAAGCTTATATATGTATATGCTGAAAGAAGAGAGAATGATATATGCCATTTCTGATGATAAAAATTGGATTCAAAGGAAAATGTCGCATTTTTTAAGTTTTTAAATTTCAAATTTTCTTTTTTTCTTTTGATAATATGCAATAGATAAGAAATTAAATTTTAGCATTTGTTTGCTTTCATGAGGTACAAGATAAACGTCTTTTTTTTGTTTTGGTTGATAATTGTAACGGAAGAGGTGAGAGGATGAAGAAAGGGGACATTATATCAAACAACCGCCTCCTTGCTTAGATATAGATGATAAGCAGAGTCGGTTCTACTCTCACTTCGTATTACCTCGGCTGGTTGCCCGGATGCCTGGTACAGTGACCGAGGACCATCTTCCCGGTACGTCTCACGCATGCTAAAAAACAAAAGAAAGGACATGAAATTGATTGGAAAAAAAAATGAAAAATTGAAAAATTCACATTAAATTTGTTGACGAAAAATTTTTTCGAAAATTTCTAAATGTCTGAAAAAATTTTCGATATTAAACTTTCATCTGACCTTCTCCACATTTCCGAAAATTCTTTTGAATGGGAAAAAAAAAGATTTTAATGATGCACAAAAATTTCAACAGGGGAAAATTACTTCGCTTTTTTCCTTTTGTCGTCATAAGAATTTATTGTCGGCTTCACTTCTGAAAATTGAGATGTATAGACTGTTTAAAAATTCTGCCGGAAAAAAAAAATTAATTAAAAATAGTAAAAGAATTAGTGCAATCAAAATTTCAATGCTAATCTCTATAGAGATTAGCAAAAAAGTAATGCATGGTTTAAAAATTTCAAATGAGAAAAATCGTCATCTAATTAATAGGAAATTATTTAACTTACTTCTAAAACAGAATAAATTCTTTTTGATACAAAACATCATTAGTAGTGATAGCAATACACCGAAAATTATCATCATTAATAACGCCGTAAGCCAGCTTGGAAATGAACTCATAGTAGCTGATTGACCACCGAATAAAGCACCCAGTGGTACCATTATACTAGAATAGAAGTAATTGAAATTCAACATTTCATCATTGGTTTGGAATTACACTATTGCACCATTTTGAAGGCCGAAATGAATTCGAAAATCTCCAGTATATTATTAAATCTCAAATTTCAAATATTTAATTAATTCCGGAAAAATAAAAATTTCAATCTTTCTTGTGAATTTGGAATTTAAGAAAACCTACTGCTTACTGCCATATGTATTTTGAACTTTTAGAACCACTTGTCGAATGGTATCTGAATCAGAAACCGGTGAAATGAGTAATTTTGCTAGATGACAATTTGGTACGGTGTTATTTTGCGTGGTACTTTCGAATCGGAAATTTTGCCATGTTTGTCCAATTTGTAGCTCATTTTGATCGACCGAAAAGACGACATCACGCGGTAGCTTAGGTAACGGTTCTGCACAATAGTGAACCACAACAACCGCACTGTCTGAGCTAGGAAGCTGCAAATTTTTTCAGACATTTAAATTTGAATTTTCAAATTTGATAATTCATTGAAAACTAGTGCAACCATAAATGATTATGTTGATAATATGGGAGTTAACAATGAAGTAAGTGCAGTTTTTATCATTTATGTTTCCAAGAAGTCTTACTACTTACATTTCAAAAAATGAAAAATTCATGGTATATAACCATTTCAAACATTTTTTAGTAATGCTATCGAAGAAATATCATATTAATTAATTGTAATAATAAATATTACAAATGAAAGAGATAAAACCTTTTGAACGGATGGTAAGCTATCCGATTGAGTTGGTGGTCCCTGCACCTGTACATTTAAGTAGGTAGTACCAGGCGAATCAAGTGATGGTGAACATTCCGGAGCACCTTGTGACACAAATGAACATGCAGCACACCAATATTGTCCCGAAAATGTGTAATTTGCTATCCGTAATGAGCAAATTGCATTGAGACGCTGAAAGATAAAAAAAGGAATACAATCGCTTAATATATGGCATTGAAATCCAATTTGAAATGAAATAAAGTATAATTCAAAAAAGAAAAGAAGTTGAAAGATCTCACATAACTGCTTCAATCATTAGAAGGTGATGATGTAATTATCACATTGAAAATGGAATTCAACTCATAAAATCGCCATTAATTATGCTATCATCAAGCACAAAATGTACCAATGAAGACAGTAAATTTCCAATTTTCTCCCAGTAAACTTGAACTACTACTTGCTATACTTCAATGTACCATTCATCTAATAGGATAAGATTGATTAGGATGGGGTTTTTTTTGATTAAAGGCTCCATTTCAAAAATATCTATTCCTATCTTTCAACTAAATTAATAAGTGAAGCGGAAAATAACAAACAATATTGGCAGCGTATGTAACTTGACTGCGTTGTTCTAAGGGTACTTCTTGATACTGTCCTTCAAAACCCTGTGGACATGCTGCATCAACTACTTGACCATTTGATTTCCTCAATTTCCAGAAAACAACCGGGCGTGGATTACCCTCCACTTGGCATCCTAAGTTAATCTGCTGATTCATATCAATACGATTGCCAGTTTGAAATGGTGCTGCATTTTGCATCGTTTGAAAATTATCCTGCACCAATCGAGCTGCTGCTACAAATTTATGAAAACCGTGAATTATCTGCTACGAGTTAACTGCTAAAGTCATCTAATCCAGAATTTTAAATTCCAAAGTCGATCTTAAATTTCCAAACCATAATCCAGAAATCCATATCTTTAAAAACTCAGTTAAGCGGAATCTTGAGGATCTCCTTCCTTTTCATCTCTCTCTCTCCCCGTCTATAATTTCGGATTTCGAATTTGATAATGCCAAGTTTTGGTTTTGATTAATATGTATATATATAACTTACTATACGGATCAATTTGCACGGCTTGTGAAATGGGCATTTCACCGTCCGAAAAAAGACCATTATTAGCAGAACACTGAATTGAATGACCAATCATTTCGGTACCAATTGTAATATCGGCACCATTACCACTACAACGGACAGAATTATCATATCAAATTTTGTACCGATGTGTTATAAGTTGAGAAAATGTCTCAATCTAATTTTGCCAAATCCCAAATTTAATTTGATTTAAATTTAGAAATATTTATAACAAGACTTTATCATCGTATCCAAAATCTTTTATTTCAGATTGTTTCCAGGAATGAAATTTAAACAAATAATAACTGCTAATCAGAAACGAAAAATCAAAGATAAACCTGACAACAACGCCATTCTTAAGCCACTTGAATACTGTAGCCGGCGGATGGGATTGCACCGCACAACGTAACGTTTTCCGTCGACCAGTTTGTTGACATAATCCATCACTTGCACGTATACATTCCACGTAAAATCGATAACCCTATAGATAAAACTTTAAAAATATTTAAGATTAAAGAAATTTTTAAAATAACGATTGTGGTAAAAAATCAGTTTTTTGAATTTTTTTTTTCGAAAAAAAATTGGCCTAATGAAAAATATTACTTGACTAGCAATTAGTATTGGTCCTTGACCAGATGTATCCACTACATGTGGTTGTTTCAAGTATCGTACATCAATTATAGCTGGTGCTGAATCGATGGTACCACCATTCACTGCTGCTTGACACATTATTGTCGCACCTGTCCAGTTTGTGTTTACTGCTATACCACGCAATGCTACAGTCTGAAAAAATGTTTTCAGATTAGAATTGAACGAGTTGGGAATGAATACCGAAAAATCAAATATCAATTGGTGAATTTATATAAATAAACCGATTTACTCTTGTCTTCCTTTCTCCCCTTCTCTCCCGCGTTTGAAGAATTTATAAAAGGAAGATTAGAATTGATGTACTTTTGAAAACTAGCAAAATGAGCTCTAAAAACCGGAAAGCTAAATGTCAGCAAAACTTGCGAGGAAATTTAATCAGTAAGCAAATTTAAATTCTGTTGCATTAGTTCTTGAAAAGCGGAATGTTTGGGACTTAAACAAATAGTTTTCCTTTTTAAAATTCTACTAAAATGAGGCAAACGTTCCAAAGTTCGTTGTAATCATAATAACTTTGTGTCCATTCAAAAGGTCTTTGACCGATGGAATAGATCAATGAAATTATAGTTAATTTTGATTTAGAACAAACGAATTTAGTCGTTCCAAATAATCTTGCAAAATAATAAATAATATTAAGATAAAAATCAAAAAGGAAAAGCAAACTACAATCAACATGATAATAAGAGGAATTATGTAAATGAATTTAATTCAATGATTTAATGTATAATTTCAATTCAAAGTCAATATATTAAATAAGATTTGAGTTATCCCTTCCTTTAACGATTAATTTTCTGTAATCTTTGCTTGAGAATTCAAAGATTTGGATTATGGAATTTTACATGTTTTGCAGTATTCTGATCGACAATATCAATCAGTATATTTATTTAATTTTAAAATAAACAAAACTAGATAAAATATGAATAAAGCGGTGAATAAAAATAAAACTTACAGGAAATCCAGCGCTGCGTGTAAGATCTTGCGCACTGCTTAAAACATTAACCATATCTGTGATATTCTTCTGATAACAATCAACACAAACAAAACGTAACTGTGATACAGGTGCTTCAGATACGCAATAAATTGTTTCCTGAAGAATAATTGAATGTTTTGCTTTCTTCTTCTCATTTGCTTATAAATTTGTTTTGGCTTTCTAAAAAGTTTTCCTCGCAAATTATCGACAAATTATGCTAAAATATCTATTAATTGTTTTGAATATAACCTTAGTAGCAGTGCCTAACATTGTCCAAACAATTTGATTAAGCTGTTGCGCATTTGGTACTGGAAATGGCATATCGGCGATCTTCACTTTAATTCCGCCATTTTGAGCTACTTGACCTAAAAATATGAAATAATTTCTTTTATTACATGATTTAAGTTTCAATTTTGTAAACATTTGCAAAACATTTCGATGGAATCCAAATTTTCACCTAAATAAAATTCTATTATTTTCATTTGTTCTGTTTTTAAAAAAAAAAATAGGAATATTTAAAAATCAAAATTTCAAAGTCGCTATCAATTTGTAATTTAGTGCTACTGAAAAAGCGTAACAAACCTGAGATCGATTGAAAGGTAAAAATGATAAACAGGTAAGGTCGTTTCAAAATAATGCTCAATATTAACGTCATCATCCTCATCATCATCGTCATCATCATCATCATCATCATCACCATCACCGTTATTAATATCGTTATTAACGGAAGAAAAGGAAAAAGTAAAGCGGCAAAGTAAAGAAACGAACGCCAGCTATAATTGGTTTTGCTGTCGTACAGCTGTAATTTCAATGAAATTTGCGCATCACTAAATTAACATTCCAAATTGATATGCGCAATTTCATCGTTCAACATTCAAACTTCAACTTATTTAATATTTAACTGAACTTATTATTCAGTTATAATTTCGGGATAACTTATATGTAAGCATTCATTTGTTCTACGTCGCAAAAATTAGAAATTAAAAGGCGAAAAAAAGCGATAAAAATAGAGAGCGAGAGAGAGAGCGAGGGAGGGAGAGAAAGAGAATGGATTGATCCCCTGATTGATCCTGAAAATTCTGGAATTGGCATCAATCTTCTGAGGTTATTGGCATTGTTAACGATGAAATTTCAACGGATGATTTTGGGAATGTGCCGATTGTTATCAGCAAAAGTTAATGATTTTCTGAAGCAATCGTAATCAATTCAGCTGGTTATCATTGTAAAATTTCAATGAGTCATTAATTTGATGAAATTAATGGCGCACATTTTGTTGCTGTAAATCTCTAATCTTTTCCCTCTTCCTTCCACCTCTTTTTCCTCCACCTCTTCCTTTTTACTTTTCTTCCTAATTTTATTGTGTCCTTTTAAATCGTCATCAAAAATTCACTGAAGCATATATATATATATATATATATATATATATAAATTGCTTATTATATATATATATATGTTAATGAAAAGAAAAAGATAAGGAAATCCATAACTAGTTTGAAAAATAATTAATTTAAAAGAAAGGAGAAAATACAAAAAAAGAGAAACAAAAGAAAATTGCTTATTAATCCTCTTCAGTCTCATTAATGATTCACCTTTATGATAATAATTTTCAAAAATTTTTTAATCTTTCTTTTTTCACTTTACCAAAGTTCGTTGAAATTAGAGGAAAATGAAAAAAAAAGCCGCTGTAATTATAATTGAGAAGAACAAAAAGAAACAATTCTTATAATATATGCTATTTCAGTCTAAAATTAAATTTTAAACAAAGTAATATTTAAAAAAGATCACGGAGAAACACGGCACGTACGACATATTTATACGTAATTACGTGTACCATTATGTATTTTCAATTATTTTATGAATCATTTTACCAAGCATACAAAAGTTATACGGAAAATATCTTTCAAATTGGCGGAAAAAAATTTTTTAATTTCAAACTTTTTGGCAGATACGAACAGAAATAACGGTAGAGATTTGATTGAGGATTCAAAGATATTAAGAGATACCAATATTGATCTCCCGCGCTTTCCTCCGCTTACCGGTCATACCGGTTTGGATTCTTTTTATAAATCTATCTAGAAATATATTTCGAAATACTGGAACACTGATAATGGCAACACATTTTACACAAAATGTGAAATGGTGTGTAAGACAAAGGAATGGGAAAGAGAGGAACAGCAGGAAAGAAAGGAAAAGCGAGGGAGAAAGGAAGAGATAAAAGGAGGGAGAACCTTTTCAAGTACTGGGACAATGGATGCAAAAGTGCTGGGCACTTCCTGACTAAATGACCCTTAAGGAATTCCGAAGGTCATTTGGGGCAGAATGAGACAACATGCGGACTTTTGGATAATAATAGCGAATAGGATCAAACAATGTTTCAGGAACTTTCCGTTATGATCAAGCGCTTGTATTCATTTATGGCGTTTATTCATTTATTTAATGCTAAAAGTATTCAAATTATTTAGCGTATAAAGATTCAGCAAGTACGAGGGGAGTATCGAAAATAGTACTTTCAATAAATGAAGTTGAAAGTATCTATGCAAATAATCATAATCATTTATTAGATCACATCAAATATTGGTATGAATTATGCGGAAAAGAAAAAAAGGAAAGTGATGATAAATTAAGGAAATACTGATAAACTATGTGGATATAGAAAATTAATAATAACTGGGAGAAAAAAAAGATAACATTTTTTAACATTGAAAGAAGGTTAAATGATTAATATGCTAATGAACGCTAATGAATCAAAATTCGAAATTTTTTTTTCAGCAAAGAAAGAAAGGTTTTTTTAAAACAAAAAAGCTTAAGATGTTGAAACAATTCAAATTCAATAGTAGCCAATAGAGTGGTGCTGCACAGGTGGAGACTATTTTACTACCTGTCTGTGTGTCTGTATGTGTGTGTGTGTGTCTGGTGTGTGTACCTGTGTGCTTGTATGTACGCATGTGTCGATCGATCTGTCTGTCTGTTAATTACAACAGTATTTTCAAATTGGTGAATACAAAAATGTTGAAAATCTGGACAGATTCAAATGTTTGGTAAAAGGTATGAAGAGAATGTAGCAAGATGAACAGGTAGAAATTATGTGATGGGGAAGGATCAAATTATTGCATAGGTGGAGGAAAAGAGAGAAATGGGAAGAGAGAGAGAGAGAGAGAGAGCTATATCTTACCTGTGCGACACAAACAAGTCTACGACAACAACCCTGGCATATAAAGGTTTGTGATCGACAAGCCGGACGACGACAGTGCTGGTCAACGATGATTTTCAAAAACAGCAATAGTACAGTCACACAAATGCATACACAACACACATTCATATACACATATATATAATATATATATAATGCAGACGGACACATACAACGACATACACAACAAACATTTCTACATCTAAACACACCGATTAGTAAGTTTGAGAATAGAGAGAAAAGACGGGCCAGTTGATTCATGAAAGATAAAATAATCCATGCTTGATTCCTACTTGCTCACTATAATATGGTGAGCTTCTCGAATCCCAAACCGTAATATCACTATTTCCACCGCCACTACCACCATCACCGCTACTACTATTACTACAACTACCTTTACCACCATCTTTACCACTTTCATCATCCTCTTAACCACCATCACAACCATCATTTCCATCTTTCATACTATTTCATACCTTATCTGTTGACCACACATTAATGGCCAATCTATTTGGTCATCCATAACTTGCTCATATCTTTCATTTCAATCTGCCGCATATTTTTCACTCACAGATTCACTTCTATCAAAGTAAAAAGCAAAGAAAAAAAATGGGTGACCGAATTACCCAATGTTGAAGATCTATTAAACTTCAGATATAGAGATATATATGCATAGAATATAAAATTTATACAATCATAAGTGGAACAACATGAAATATTTACAAATTTTGAACTAAGAAAAAGAAAAAGAGGGAGAGAGGGAGAAAAGGGAAAGAGAGAGAGAGAGAGCAAAGGAATAATTTATACAGGGAGTGATATTTTAAAGTTTAAAAAGGATGTCTTTTTCTTTCTTCATCAACTGAATAAATGAAATAGTTATTTATTGTGATGATGAGGATGTATTTAAAATGATTCATATTTTGGTGAATTGATGATGAGTTGCTGCTGTTTACTAAATTACCGATAGCTGGTGGTAGCAGTAAATGTTGCAACATACGGGATAAATGTCTTGTTCGAGGAAAAGCTTTCTGGGAAACAACGATAAGAAGAGTAAACAAATGATGTTATTGTCCTTTTAAAAAAGTTAAAAGAGAAGTGATTAAAAATTTCGAAATTTTAATTTACATATTGAATGAATTAATGTTTCATTTTGCAGAATTTGAAATTCATTAATTATGCTACTGTTTTCATAAATTAATCGTATCCATGTATAAGTTAAGCATGATTACTTATGCTTAACTCATACGTTATTCCGGTATCCACTCTTCCGGTATCCTGTCAAATATTTTCGTAGCGTTATTTTTTTTTTTTCTAATAATATTTACATAATTCCATATGGCAAATATTAATGATTACCTGAATCAGTTTTTCTTGCAACAAATAATAGTTGTCATATTTTTCATTTAACTCACCTATAAATTAATTTTATTTAGAGTTTAATTAATTTCAACCAAATTTCATTCTTATCTATGCAAAAAAAGTAATCGTATTCGATCTCATTTCTTTTCTTCCAATGAAAATAATTTACAAATAATATCATTATCATTTTGCAAAAATTTAATTTTTAAACTATTCATTTAAATTAAAATTTGCAAAATTCGATTTTTAAAAATATTTAAAATTTCGACGAAAAAAAAAAAAAAAAAGAGTGATCTTACTTAATTGTAATTTTATGAAGAAATGATGAAAATAATTTTGCGAACGAAATAAATAATACAAATTGCTTAACGTACTATATATATTTCCATTCAACAAATTCATTTCGAGAGTGAAACAAATGCCATTATAATCGATCAGAATTGAAAGTTCACTTTCAATAATATTCACTTTTATTTGATTAAAATTGTTAACAAATTATATTCAATCAACGAAATTAAATCGTTTAATTCTATTGATAATGTGAGGAAAAGTGTAAAAATATATCGAAGATAAAATATAATTTTGAAATTTTAATTACAATAAATCATTCGAAATTTTAATTACAATAAATAATTTAATGAAAAAAATTAAATATAACAAAAAAAAAAAGAAATTATAAAAATAATAACAAATATTCTTTGATTATAATAAATAATGATCATCTAATAAATGATTAAAGAATAAAATTTATATAAATATAAAAATCATTCCA